AAAAAAAAGGAATGGCCCAAAAGCAGAGCAAATATGGATGACTTAAGAACGCCCACAATGCTTTGGTCTCTTAACAAAAAATCACATGCCATGTAAGAAGTAGACCTATTATATAAAAAAAGTGTTTCACAATGCAATTAAAAGTGGATCTAGTCAAGCTTATTTTGGACTCAAGTGTGAACCTTACAATAGTAATCATTTACTATTATTATATTTTTATTGGTTGTTAGGTATTCTAGACCTAGTACTTTTTTTTTTGCATTAGATAGATTTTGGATTTTTTAGCTTGGGTTTGTCCATGTCATTATAGACTTAAGTCTATTTATTTGCCGCATATGCAAGAAGATACCCAAAACATTGTGGGTGCTCTAATAGTTTGTTAGGTACCAAAAGGTTTGAGAATCATGGTATATATATATATATATATAATATGTTTTAAAATATTTTCAAGCAATTCTTTTAAAGAAAAATTCTTTTTATATAAGAATGAATGAAAATAAAAGGAAGTTTTTTATATAGTATGTTTGGGTGACTTTTGTTGTTGATCTTTGACTTGTGATGTTGACCGTTAACCATAGTATAAATTATGTACAAACTAAATATGTATTATGTATGAGCTAAATGTGCGGTCTTACAATTGATAGTTTTGTAATCCCCGGTTAAAAATTGTCAACAGACGTCGGTCGATGGTTAAACCGATCAATTTATTTCTTTATTATTATTATAATCTCAGATTGAGATTGTAATCTCAATATTATAATCTCTGATACCATATTATAATCTCATATTGAGATCAAATGAGAGAGATGAGGATGGAGATGAAAAGTCGAGAGAGAGAAAAAGAAAATCAATATATTATTTCAGAAAATGAAAAAGTGTCTTCAATAGAGGAGATTGCAAATATATTTATACTAAACCTGTACATAGTAAAAGTGCTACTTGACAATAGCAACTTATTAAACTAAAAATACAACTCTAGTTTGAACATGCTAAAATACAAAAATGCCCACATCATGTATATACTCTAATAATTATATATTAATTTTAATATAATAATTAT